TGAAAGTTGAAGAAGAGATAAAAACGTGAAAGGGAAAGAGATGGAGAGGGTTTTCTCAAGACTTCATCTTCTTTCATTGCATGTGAGAAATTGGGTTGGATTTTTGAAGAACACGACAAATGGAAGCTCGCTGATTACCAGGTCACAATTTCGAGTTTGATCGGGTGGGGTTCATAGGTAGATGGGTAAAATCACTTAGAGGGAAAATTGCATGGGGGATAACTTGGAGTTTTGTTTGTGTTAGGAATGGAGTACATTTCCATAAGTATGAAGGAAGTTAGAGATATAAATGACTTTTAATTCTTTGAAAATTGTAAAGGCTTGAAGCTTAACCATTTGACCTTCGCTGATGATGTATTACTTTTCTGTAATGGAGATTATATCTCTATTTATACCATGCCATAGGGACTTCAATTATTTTTCATAAACTCTGTGTTGTTTGCTAGTAAGGAGAAAATGGAAGTCTATTGTTATGGTACGCAAGAGACTGACATCAGGAGAATATCTGAAACCTAAGGATTCAAAAGAGGTCATCTTCCTTTTAAATACCTTGGTATCCCTATCAACTATAAGAGATTATCGGTTGTAGATTGTCAAATCTTGGTAGAGAAAATGACTGCTCGTATAAGGTATTAGAGCTCTAGATCCTTATCTTTTGCTGGTAGATCTGTTTTGATAAATTATGTGTTACTAACTCTTCACTCTTATTGGTGCCAGATCAGTAATAACGATTATCTGCAGGGCCTATCTTTGGACTGGAAAGGTCTCAATGTGTAATGCAGAGAATGTTGCACGAGAGCATTTGTGTAAACCTAGGAATTGAGGGGGTATGGATTTCAAGGATAGTTTGGCTTGGAATGTGGCGGCCATTGGTAAACATGTTTGGGAAATAGCGAAAAACAAAGAAAATTTATGGGTGAAATGGGTGCACCATGTGTATTTGAAGGAGGAACCTTAATGGGATTACAATGCCCTTAAAAATGGTAGCTGGTATTGAAAGAAAATAGTGGAAACAAAGGAGAAAATTAAAAGCAAAATGTCCTGGCAGGAATTTTGTAACACTGATTATAGCATAAAAATTCCCCATGCTATTTGCACGTCCTCATGAGAAGGAATATTGGACTAAGATTGTTTGGTCCAATATGAACATCCCTAAGCACAATTTTATAGTTTGGCTGGTAGTGCAAAACAGTCTAAAAACTAGGGATATGCTTAAAAGAATGTATATTGTTACTGATTTAACTTATATATTGTGTGGTGAGCAAGAGGAATCTAGAGATCATTTGTTTTTCCAGCGCACTTATAGCAGGAAATGTTGACAAGATATTAAAAGTTGGCTTAATTGGAAGATGGAGACGTGCAACATCAATGACGTTACCAGGTGGATTAGCAAAAGGAAAGCTAGTAAGTTCAGATTGAAACTATACTCTGCAGGTTTCGTGTCCATGATCTATCAGATTTAGAAGATTCAAAATAATGCGTTATGGAATCAATTTATTTTGATCCCGAAAATTTGTGTAAAGAACATTATGAATGATGTTAGGAATTGCACTGTTAGAACAAAGTGGGATAGAATACCACTTAGAGATAATGCTTGGTTTAGAAATATAACCACTAGCTAGATTGTAGTTTATTCCTGGGTTTGAAGGACCATTGTACAATTTGGTTTTTGATTAATAAAGTTCTGCTGATTTACTAAAAAAAACTTAGAGTGTTGTGTGTTTTATGAACTTTATGTGAATATGTTTAACGCCTAAACTCTTGAAATATGCGTGTTCTACTTAACCTCCCCCCCATGCTTTTTATTCTGGTTATATGCATGTTAGAGTGTATGTGTGTAGGAAATTTTGGGGTTTTGGGCCTTATAATGGGTTTAATGTTGTTACGCTCACTTAGAGAGCCAAGCCATGTCTAAGCGAGTCTTCATGGAGGAGAAAATTGAGTTTCAGGGATTTCTCGCTAAGCAACCAAAGGGTTTCGCTAAGCGAGCCTTCATGAGTTTCCTCGCTAAGTGAAACAACTAGACAAATCATTGAAATAAACAATGAAGTCGCCATCGAATGTTTTTTATCCCGCCGAAGGGAAAGGTAAACATCGAGTAAACCTGAAGGGTGAAATCACGATCAAACGACCGAAAGATCGGGTAAGAGAGTCTGTTACGCGGGGGGAGGGTATTAGCATCCCACACGTTCGTAGTACTCTATGTTATCCACTCTTGTTGTTCTAATCAAAGGGTATGTTCAAATATAAGGCTTAAGAGCTAAGGAGAAAAATGCAAAGGGGAACGCATGCGAAAGAAAACACGGGGAAAAGAAGGCAATATTTGCACAGTTTCACTCGGCTGAGCCCTGTGACCAAATGCCTACGTATCCCTTTTAAGCAATCAGAGTGTCGTAGTTCAACTCACATGTTTTAGTTTTTTTTTTGTGTTTTTTAATTAAAAATATTAATTTCGCCTTCTGCTACAACTCGATCTTTGAAGATTCACGTGTCAGCACAGAAGTGAATTAACATGTTCTTTTGAAAGTTTGAATGAAAATCCCGAAAGTGAAAAAAGATTTTGCATTGGTTGGTGGTTTTTACCTTAAAGAAGGATTTGAAATTTTTTAGATGTTTTATGCATTTTTCCAAGAAAAGAGGTTTTAGTCTTAATGCAAGGATGCAAAAGAAAGAAAAACATCTAAGGGAAACTAGCTAGAATCTAATCCCTAATATTATCATGCAATGGTTGATTCTAAGGTTGAGTCTTGAAAGGGAAATTTATACCCTATGTTAGCATGCATGAATCACAATCCTAATGTCTATTTCTAATCGCCGCCAAAGGTTGAATCGAGAAGTCCTAAGGGAGCATAGCAAATGTTCACAACCTAAACTTACGTCTATATCGAATCACCACCCAAGGGTGAATTGAGAGCTCCTAAGGGAACATGCTAAAGGTACACAACCTAAGAAAATATGTACACAAGGATGGAAAGCAAGTAATCAACAAGCTCAAGAGAGCATACACATGTCATAAGTAGCACACGCTAACTCAAGTCAAAATGCTTAACCGAGATACTGAATCATCGAGGTAGGATAGGGAAAGCTTTATCCAAGGGGTAATATCAACCAAGGCAAACAAGCGGGGTAGGATATGGGAAACTTTAACCAAGGCGTCATATCAACCGAGGAAAACAAGCTATATGTGGGGATAAGGCATATGTACCATGTCATCGTATTACCATGCAAGAAGAGTTAGGGGGAGTGAAAAAACAATGAGCGTCAACATCGCCCGATGTGAGCTCAAGACAAAATATGAGGGTTTGATTACGAAACCCTTTTCCACTTGACGACTCGATTATAAGAGTAGGCACAACTCCGAAGCATCATGGTGCGTCACGAGTTAAGGATGACACAGGTGAAATACAGGGGTTGATTGTGAACCCTCTCCGCTTGCCTCCTTTTGAGGACTTATCATGGGGGGTGGGAATGGGTGCCTTCTCTGAGGTCTTTAGGCACAAATATAAACATAATGCAAAAACGCCTACTTCGAGGTAGGTCTTTAAACAAACAACAAACACAATTAGCAAACAAGTGTGGAATTCCTGCTACAAGACTTTTAAACAGCGACTTCGAGCACACGCTCTTTATTATCCTACTTCTCATGATATCTAGAAAGCGGTAAAATATGGAAAAATAAACCAAAATTAGAATATTACCAAATGAACAAGAGTTCGTAAAGCAAGCAAAGCAGAGAAACCCATAAATATTCGATCAAGCTTCACCAAGCAACAGAAAAGTGTCAGAAATTAAATGCTCGAAATAAGTGTTGAAGCATCATCGACGTGAAAATAAATCACAATCAGAAACTCAAGCACATCTGCATATCACACAATAAATCTGCATAAGACTCAGATCTCGACAAGCAAAGGTGAATCACAAATCTTAAGTAATCGGATAATCATGAATTAATTCCTAAAATAAAATAAAAAAAATTAACAAATTTTTATTGATTTTGTAATTTTTTATCATATAACAATATAGAAAAATTGAATCCTAATTCTTACAAAAAAAAGGATGAGCAGGGGGTGTGAGCTTGAAACATGGACTATGATGAAGTAAGTTGGTGCTAAGGCCTATAACCAAATGTCCATGAGCATGGTTTTTTGCTTATCTTCCCAAGCTGCTCCAAAAATGTTATGGGCTTAATGCATAGAAGATTTTGGTCCACTCTCAATTCAACATTAAGTCCAGCTAGAATTTGGTTTCAGTTGGATTTTTGTTAATAATGAATTAAAACAAAATAAATAAATAAAAGAAGAAAATGGAAAGGGATTACAACGTGGAAATTAGGGCTCTTATTGTGTCTCTTCAGCTTCACACTCACAAACTATACCCTCTATTCCTCTTTAACTCGACAGTGCGACCTCCCAAACTCCCTTTGCTGCACCAATTTATTTTTCCGACGCTATAGCCTCCGTCACCTCCATCTACTCGCCATCCTCCACCGTGAATCCTCGCTACCACTCGTCTCTCTCTATCTCAATCCTCTTCACGGTTCTTTTCTGATTTAGGTCTCAATCTCCCTCGACCTTATTCCTCATCTCCAAATTGAAACGAAACACAAAACACGACATGTCTACGACAATGAATATTGAAGTTCCATTGAAACAAGAGAGGGAGATCTCAAGCCTTACCTGCAGAAATCGCTCTGGTGGCTTTTCGATCATAGTGACGAAGAAAGAATCAGAATTTCAAAACTCCAGGTAAGAGTTGATTCGCACCTTCTTCCTCCCATTTTTGTTTTCTTCTTCGCGTTTGTGTGATTCATAATTTGTTTATGTGTTTTTGTCGATTGCTATTGATAAGCAAAGTTGTTGTGATGTTACGGATACGACAAAGTCGATGCGATGAATATGAAGCTGTGAGAGCAGAATTGCTGTTATAGAGGGAGAGGATTCAATTTGAAGGTGAAAGATTGATGGCGTGGTTTGAAGATTAATGATGATAATGGAGAAAACTCAAATAATACATAGAGAATTTTTGTGATAATTTTCTCGTGATTCTTCTGCAGAAATTGAAGAATGAATCGTATCTGGTGAGAATTCTATTTTTATCTTTCTGTTAGAGTTTGTAGAAATTTTTTTACGATTGAATTGAATCCGAGCCTTAGGATCTTGAGAGTTTGTTAGATAATGGATGGTGAGATTGAGAGACTTGAGAGTTGTTGAGCTGTAAAATTGTTCTCTCATTTTTATTCCCTGATTATTCTGATTTAATTCTTTTCATGATATACTGTTTATTTTTCCTATACACTTCCTTCTGATAAAAATTGAATTTCTATTTTCTGTTATATGAATAAGCTGGGTTTGAAATTGGTTATTCATTCCATTTTTCTGATTTTTCATTTTATACTTTCTGAACATTTTATTGAATATCATAATGGATGCAAGGCGGTAACCAGTAGCATTTTGAATTGATTTTGGTTTTGGTAGCATCATGGATTGTTATATGTATATGCAGGTGGGTAGGTTTTCTGGTGTGAACTGGTTTTGGACATGAACTAGTTTAATGGTTTAAACTTATGAATTTTATTTGTTCTATGAGCTAGTGTATGCAGGTCAGGATCATGGTTGGTTTCACTATGCCAAACAAGACTTTAGACAACGCTTTTTTTGGCTTTAGACAGCGCTTTAAAGTGTTGTCTATTCTAGTGCCGTTGTAGGTAAAGACAACGCTTTGGTAAAAGTAAAAGCGCCGCTAAATCCCCCCTTTAGGCAGCCCTTTTACTTTGAAAGCACTGCTAAAGGCCCCTTTTAGCCAACACTTTTACTTTTAAAGTGCTACTAAACGCCCCCTTTAGCCAGCGCTTTTACTTTTAAAGCGGTGCTAAAGGCCCCCTTTAGGCAGCGCTTTTTCTGAAACAAAAAAAATTAAAAATTAAAAATAAAAAGCCCCTTTAGGCAGCGCTTTTAATGTTAAAGCGCTGTCTAAAACCCCCTTTAGGCAGCGCTTTTTTTTAAAGCGCTGCTAAAGGCCCCCTTTAACCAACGCTTTTTCTGAAACAATTTTTTTTTAATAAAAAAGAGCCTCTTTAGTCAGCACTTTTACAGTAAAAGCAATGTCTAAAGGGGGCTTTAGATAGCATTTTTAAACTGCTGTCTAATGTCCACAAAATTTTTTATATAACCTTTTTTTAAAAAAAAAAGCGCTGTTTGATATATACAATTTTACATGCAGAGATTTTAACGATATTTGCACCAGATTTACACCATATTTTGCACCTGTATATACCGTTACAAATTTCACCAGATTTTCACTAATATTGAAGCTTCAATCCAATAAAAAATAATACCAAAAGATACTATAGATTCGCACCAATGTACTTATATATACTATTACTCTTGTACATATATACTTTTACAAAAAAATAACACCAAAATAACACCATTATATGCCATTACAAAATCTATTCATCTATATCTTCTACATATGCACATATAACCTGAAACAACACCAAAATATCATAATTCAGACCATAATACAAACAAAATATATATAATTTACCACATGACAAACAACAACAAAATTGCAAAACTTGAATATACTCAAAATTCTCATCAATTAAAATAAGATTACAATATACCTTATATAACTTTCGTCTCAATAATGTATTAACACCAATTCTCTTTAAGTTCATCAAACTGAGAACTTGAGTAATAAGCACACTTGAATTCATCAAAGTACTACATAATAATATAACATAGTATGTTTAAGTTAAAACTATTTAATTATATGAGAAATATGTTTTAAATATTAAAATAACTCCTAAGTTCGAAATCCATACCTTAGATGGAATCTCTATTCGATCCAAAAGAAGGATTTCTCTCATAAGCCTCAACATATAAAAACCGCAATATACTTCATTACGCTGCCGAGGACACTACACATGAAAAGAAAATATGGATAAGTCCTAAGTTTTATCAAGTATCATCACTATTAATATAATAAAAATTGTGATAATTAATTAATATACCTCCACTATAATCCATGTAATGTTATTGGCTTTACTCTTTGGTACTTGAATACCTCTTTGTGCTCAGAAAACTTATATAATGCTAATAAAACATAAACGTATATTTAGAACAATTCACATACATAAATAAATAAATATACACACGAATATTTAGAACAATCTCACTTACGTATCAACTATATTCTTCATATCTTGGTATGTACTTGGATCATTGCGTAAAGAATCCAAATAATATATAACTTCTCTAATAGGATTAATCGCGACCAACAACTAATGCCCACTGTAAGATTAAACAAATGTGAGATGAAAACTTTCTACACAACGTCAAAATATGAAAAATTATAATAGATGACTTTAGAATGAAAATCTAACCCGTTGCCGGTATTAAGCGGTAAAAAGAATAACTTTTTAGTATCTTTGTCGGTCATAAAACACTTGAGTACATACGCCATGAATTCATCTGGTTTATGCATGATTAACCCTAAGTTGGTATTGTAAGGAGATAAGAAAGCGAATCTTTGTTCGAATCCACTCGGGCGCATCAATTTTTCATACAAAAACCTTAAAAAAGACCTCATTAACATTTGAAATGAGTTAATGAATTGATCAATTAATTAGACAAAGTAGATCGGATATACCTTATATATGTATTAACAACATCGAGGCCTAATTGCGTATGTTGTAAAACTTGATCAAAATCCTCCATACCAATTGTTTCGGAATATTCAAAACCAAAAATACCAAAATCCATAGATAGAAGACGAGTATTTCCTTCCGGAATATCAGATGTTTCTAAAAATGTCCCAAGGCATGACCTAAACTTGGAAGTAGGTTTTTTTTTAGCCGCAGTCTTCTTAGCAACAGCCTTTTTTGTGTGGAAATGTTGCAAATTTCAGGATTCTTACCCCTACCGACATCTTCATTCTCTTTAGCATGAATCTAAAGATCATATAATTAGTTATGTGAAGTATAAGATCACGAATTAACATTTTTCATGCATAAATATCATACAATTTTTATGTACCTCTTTTATTGATGCAACTGACTCGATTTGCCGCGAAATCCCCTTGTCTTTTGCTTTGGATTTTGTTGGAGTCTAATTAACATAACCATGTAAAAACAAATGTACGTAAAATGCATGTAAAAACTTTGAATACTCAAAGGTTCATATATATGGTTTTAAGCATACCTCATCATCTACACTGATGAGGCTTGACAACCATGCAACAAACGAACCTATTGCATCTCCCACCAGTGTGGCATCCGAAACATCGTCAGGATGTGGTAATAATGCATCCTTCTCCAAAGCAATGTCAACCGATACTTTCAAACAGCCAGTAGGGAGCGGTTTAGTGTGAAGTAATTCTCCCAAAGTGTTATGCACTTTTCCCTTGCCAACCATCCGATAAGTCGGTGACGATAAGTAGAGTTTACAAGGTGAAATACCCTAAAACCAATAATAAATTTCAAATTTTTATTGTGTATATATTTCAATTAAATAAATTAAGCTACTTTAATTTCATAATGATATATATAATTACCTCTGGAAGATTCGGTTGAAAATTACAACCGATACTATTTTGTCACTAGTAGCTTTAAAAATTGAAGCTTGCTCTCTTAATTCTTTTTCCCTTCTCAATTCACGGACTTCAGCTTGTAGTGCTTCCAAGGTTTCCTGCAGTTCTTTATTGCTAGGAGTCTTTTGTGTTTTCATCTTCAAGGATTTTGGAGTGATTCCAAATCCCTTACCCCTCACCTGACCAGAATACTCTCGAACATCTAATGCTCGACTAAGTATTCTTCTGCAATCATTATCTTTATCTGGACATATAGACTGAGATAGAGTCTCCTGAAATTCATGTGAATATTGAAAATTTGTCTTAATTATATGTTACTAAACTTTTGATTTAATTAAAGAAATAATGCTATACTTACACATTTCTCAAAAACTTTTTGAACATCTTCTTTGACAACTCCATCCTTACCCACACGGGCTTCCTTCCACAAAACATGTGCCGTAAGAGATGTTTTAGAACTATTCTCCTTTGTTAACTACACATTAAGCCAAATAATATGATCAAATATAATTCATGATGAACAAGTATCTCATTGCAATTTATAGATACTTATGATATACTGTTCTAAGCGTCCATATCTAATACGCCCTTTTCTATATGGATACACGGGACTTGATGCTCTTTGCCGATTTGTTTCACTTACACTCTGAAATTCTTGGGTTTTTCGTTTGGCTTTAAACGTTTCCCATTCTTTAGGTGAAACCAAACTTGCATATTTATATGGAAGCTCTACACCAACAAAAAATTTATCTGCATCCCTAAGAAACTTGATATTTAAAAAAGTCTTAAACCCTCTTAGTAGTTTTCTGGCCAATTGGAGACAAAAAGTTCTTCTAGTATTATCAATGTTGTTGAAAGACCTGTACGAAAAACATACACAGAGTGCGTTAGTAGAAGTAATTTAAAGACATAATCGTCATTAAAAACAAATTGGAACTTCATTAAATATGGTACATGTATCTCACTCCAAAAAAATTTCTTTAGCTTCTTTCAACTCTCATTTTCTCCAATCATCATAAGTAATTGGAACTTCATTCCTTACAAGTGCACCAATAAAACTTGTCACCGTTGAACGTTAGGCTCAATTAGTTGACCATTTTGGCTCCAATGTGCATCTAATTTTATGCCTCGGTCTCTATCACGAATGACTTTCTTCATAATTGTTATTCCCCGTCTAATTTCCGCTTCCTGGTCAATAACGGTCTCATGATCTCCATCATCAATAGCATCATCATGTGGGTGATCCTCGTTACTAGCCATCTAACCTGTAATAAAGAAAAACATAAACCCAATATAAAAATCCATAATCAATTGAATATATAACAAATGACAAATAATGCAGAGCATATAAATTTATTTAAAAATGACATGATATATAACATTTTACTATATTACCTCTTTCACTAACATCTCTTTCTTTTCTTGGTTGGAATATGAATTACTTGTTTCTTAGCAATGCGGACGTCAGAATTGATCCAAATTCCCTCGTTATGATTGTTTCTAATATATGATTCATTCTCTATAATATTCTCATCTTAATCATTCCGTCTAATACATGAGTGATTCTCAACATCAATATCACCTTGATCTACACCGATATCATCAATCACTTTGTTAGATAAAAGCACTATAGACCATT